GTGTGTCTGTGTGTGTGTGTGTGTCTGTCTGTGTGTGTGTGTCACTGGATTATTATAATGCACGGAATTCTCAAGTCTGTTTTGGATACTCTTTCACATGGTGATGAGTTTCTGCGTGTGACAGACAGCAGCTGACAGGAAACTCTCGTGACCTGACTTGGGTTTCAGAGTTAGTTTCTAATGATTGAAGGGAAGTGAAACTGAATCAAACCTTTAGTTTTTCAGAAAAAATCATAATTTCACTACGTGATTCTGCTTTTGTTGTGAGTGTGAGTGTGTGAGAGAGGGCATTTGTGAGGGACTCAGGGGGAAGCTCTTTCCTAGTTGAAAAAGATGGTGGAGAGTTTGAAGAGGGGAGGCGAACTTGGGAGGAGAAGGAGATTAGGACGTGGTCCAAAATGGCCTAGTCCATGACGAACAGACCGGAAATGTCAAGCCATGTGTGATGAAAAGGTCGAGGGAGTGGCCACGGTTGTGGATCAATGAGTTGATGTGGAGGGTGAGGTTTTGGGAGGAGAGGAGGGCAATGAAACCTGAGGAGGTGGTGCAAGGGGAGCTAAGGTGAAGATTGAAATCACCTATTATGAACAGATGTTTAGGGCGGGGATGAGAGGAGAGAGGGGATATCAGTGAGGAAGGAGCCAGGAGGTTTGCGAGGTGATAAATTTGGAGAATTTTGAGTGAGAGAGGAGGGATGGTAGAGGGTGAGGTGCTCAAACGAGGACAAACAGCCAGAGGAATAGGGCGATAGACTGAATGGAAGCTTGAGAGATGGGGGCTGTTGGGTGGGGCTGTAGTGAAAAGTGTAGAGAGGAAGGGAAGCTTCAATGAGAGAGACGGGGTCACCGGGGGAGAGCCAGGCTTCCGTAAGCCAAAGAATATTGATGTGCTCATCCAGGATAAGGTTACAACAACAATAACTTGCACTAATATGGCGCCCTCCACACAGGGCAATGTCTCAGAGTCCTTAACAGTGGCGGAGCCTGATTCCGAGCCGGGTGGGAGGGTGGAGGTGTCCTTAAGCATGGTCGAAGAGGAAAGTTTTCAGGCGGAACTTGAAAAAGGGGAGGGGGCAAGGTGGAGGGACCTCCACTGTTGGGGAACAGGGTGCGAGGGACAAGCGGGATGCCGTACCAGTTGAGTGGAGGCCCCGGGTGGTAGATTGGGTGGGGGGTGGGGGGTGGGGAGGGAGGGAGGTGTCAGAGAGTGAAGGGATTTGAACACAAGAGTGAGAGGATCTTGAAGTGGATGTGTTGGGTGATGGGGAGCCAGTGTAGTCTGGGGAGATGTGGGTGTGGAGTTTATAATAATAATAATAATCCTTGCATTTGATATAGTGCTTTTCACGTCGGGAGGATGTCCCAAAGCGCTTCACAGAACACACTGTAAAGTGAATTGACTGTATATTTGTGGGCGAACGCGGCAGCCAATTGCGCACAGAAATGTCCCACAAACAGTCGTAGATTGAAAATGACCAATTTATTGTTGTTTTTGTTTTTGGAGGGATTTTTATTAGGCTCTGTGTGGAGTAAGGAAACTTGCCCAAGGTTTGGCCCTCTGCCTGGAATTGAACTCAGGTCTCTCACTTGCAAAGCGAGTGCTCTAACCACTGAGCTACAGGACTCCAGTTTGGTCGGGGTCAGTATGTGGGCGGCAGAGTCTAATGAGCTAATCTTGTGAATGGTGGAGCTGGGGAGACCGGTAAGGAGGGGGTTGGAGGAATCCAGGCGGGAGGTGACAAACACACACACGAGGGTTTCGGCTACACTTGGGGTCAGCAGCGGGCAGCGTGGCGGAGGTGGAAGAAGGCGGCACTGGTCAGGGACTGGATGTGGGGGGAGGAAGAACAGCTGGGGATCCAACCGGACGACTAGATTGTGCATTGGTTTGGTGAGTCTGAGGTGGAGCCCAGGGAGGTTGAGGAGTTTAGATCCGCAGCAGTGAAGATGTCGACGGGAGCCAGGAGTATGGCTTCCATGTTGTCCATATTCAGCTACAGTTTACACTCATCCAGGCCTCGATGTCCGCCAGACAAGCTGATAGAACATCAGGATCTGCAGTTGGTGCTGGAGGCAAAGTAGATTTGTGTGTCATCTGCCATGTCTGCGGATGACATCACCCAGAGGGAAGGAAGACAAGAGGCCAAGGTGGAGTCCTGGAGTACCCTGCAGGTGACCGGGTGGGGGCGGGAGGAGAGGTCATGGGTAGCAAGAGCTTTATTGGAAAGGAAGCGGACATTTTGGAGGGAAATGCAGATAGATTTGCTGGTGGGGGTTGGGGGTGAGGATAGGAGGTGGAGGAGTGAGTGGTATAGAGGATTTGGGGTCTTGGGGAAAAATGACTGTAGAGTTTGAGGAGGGGGGAGAGTTGGAGAGGGTATGGATGAGGGAGGAGAAAGGGGTGTTTGTTTTTCGGAGGTGGTTGCTGCAGAGAGTGAGTGATGGGACAGTTGGGGCGGCTGCTCTGGGACAACCAATGCCAGGAGCCACGATGGGAGTGGCAGGGAGGATGCCCAGGCTGGAGCAGAAGGAGGTAATGGTGGGGTCCAGAAGAGAGAAGGGGAGGAGGGCGGTGGAAGAGAAGGGCAGAGTGGGAAGTGCAGAGCGTGGGGGCATAGGATCAGGAACGTTTTCAGAGGGAGCGGCTCAGATCCGGGTGGAAGCCAGAACACGCTCAAAGATGGTGAGCGATCAGCGCAAGGCAGCATCAGCCCGTGGGCTACAGGAGACAGCGCTGGGGGGTGGTGGGAGAGGGGATAGCGATCATGGCTTCGACCCCAGAGACAGGGAAAGGAGGGAGGACAAGGTAGCGGAAGGATATCAGAGTTTACACTATACTTACCCTGGAGGATTTGAAGTGGCGTCAATCAGCAAGATTCGGCTGTTGTTCAGGCGAGAGATTTGGAAATGGCATCTCCGCACCTGAAGCTCTGTGTGGAGGGCGCTATAAAACTACAAGTTTTTGTTGTTGAATCAGCCAAACCTTCACCTCTTGCTCCGGTCACTAACTAACACTCATTCACCCGTAGCCCCAGGGCTCGCTGCTCGCTTCAAGACCTGTTTTAAGACCCTCCTTTTTGCCTTCAGTCACTCTCCTACCCGTATCCTCCCTGCTCTCCATCCCTCCTGATCCCAACCATCAGCTCAGGTGTGGATCTCTGACGGTCCGGTGCCAGGAGGTCTCCTGACGTGAAAGGCGTAATAGAAATGTCATTTGCTGTTGTTAACGAACAGATATTTATTGGTCCTTATTTTCTAAGCGTTACAATCAATATATTTGGTTGTGTAATCTGCACACACCGACGTATTGTTGAGGCTGAGCAAGCGACAGGAGCAGGAGCTGGGGAGAATCGTGGTCAGCCGACTGGAGTCAGAGATCACATCATAAGACAATACTAATAATGTTGGGAGTTTGAAACACAACAACAACAACAAGATTCCATTTATTGAGCGCCTTTCACGTCGGGAGAACGTCCCAAGGCGCTGTGCAGTTGAGTCAGGACCCGAGCAGGGGGGAAATGGTCAAGGTAAGGGGAGGGAAGGGAGGGAGTGAGGAGGGGGTAGAGAATTGAGTGGAGAGCTACAGGAGGGGGACAGTACATGAGCTGCAGAGTTCTGGATGACCTGCAGTGTGGAGGGAGGTGACGGGAAGGCCGACGAGGAGAGAGTTCCCATAGTCCAGCCTTGAGGTGACAAAGAGGTGACAAAGGACCAGAGTTTCAGCCGCGTGAGGGGTGAGGGAGTGCCGTAGTCTGGCGACATTCCGGAGGTGATGGAAGGTGGTGCCAGTTGTGGCGCGGATATAATAATAATAATAATAATCCTTGCATTTGATATAGCACTTTTCACGTCGGGAGGACGTCCCAAAGCGCTTCACAGAACACACTGTAAAGTGAATTGACTGTATATTTGTGGGCGAACGCGGCAGCCAATTGCGCACAGCAATGTCCCACAAACAGTCGTAGATTGAAAATGACCAATTTAATTATTGTTTTTGGTTTTGGAGGATTATTATTAGGCTCTGTGTGGAGTAAGGAAACTTGCCCAAGGTTTCGCCCTCTGCCTGGAATTGAACTCAGGTCTCTCACTTGCAAAGCGAGTGCTCTAACCACTGAGCTACAGGACTCCATGAGGGAGAAAGGACAGCTCAGGGTCGAACAAAACGCCGAGGTTCCTGATGGCTTTGAGAGGTGGAGAGTGCAGCCTTGGATGCTGATGGTGTCAGCGCCTGAGGTGCGGAGGCGCTGACGTGAGCCAATCAGGAGGGCCTCGGTTTTTCGCACGTTGAGCTTCAGCTTTCTTCAGAAAGTTGTCTCTCGTCCAGGACTCGATGTCAGACAGACAGATGTCAGGACATCGGGGGTCGTGGAGTTGAGAGTAGAGGAGGAAAGGTAGAGTTGGGTGTCATCCGCATACATGTGGGAGTTAACCCCATGTCTGCGGATGATGTCACCACAGGGGGAGCATATAGAGGGTGAAGAGGAGGGGACCGAGGACAGAGCCCTGAGGGACACCACACGAGACAGTGCGGGGGGGGAGGAGAAGCCGTTAGTAGAAACAAAATGAAGACGGTGGGAGAGGTACGACCTGAACCACTCAAGGACAGGGCCTTGAAAGTTTAGGTGGGAGGACAAGCGGTGGAGGAGGATAGCGTGGTACGGCACCTTATCATGTCTTTGAGATTCTCAAAGCGATTCACAGAACATGCTGCAAAGTGTAGTGACTGTGTGTTTTGTGGGCAAAACGCAGCAGCCAATTTTGCGCCGTAACCTTAGGCAAGTTTCCTTACTTCACTCACCTGTTTACCAGCAGTCAGTAGGAACCCGGTTGTTAGTTGGTTGTCGGATTACTTTCCGGAGGTAATAATCCCTCAAAAAATATCATAATTGGGTCACTCAACCCAAGGCTGTTTGTGGGGCATTGCTGTGCGCAATTGGCTGCTGCGTTTCGCCCACAAATATACAGTCAATTCACTTTACAGCATATTCCTTGAAGCGCTTTGGGACGTCTCCACGATATAAATGCAAAGATCATTCTCAATATTATTTCAGACTGTGGCGCGCTGGGAGCCGGGGAGGAGGATGCTGTCAGCCTCTGTTGTCCCATAGCTGCCGCAGCTATGCTCGTCCCCGGGGGCCTGTGGGGTACCGAGTGCCCGGTAACCTCTGCTCCGGGACCGTTTGATGCGGTACATTGCGAAACCCATCAAAAGCAGCACCGCGACGGCCACGGCCACAGCGATCCCCACCGCCGCTCCTGCCCGGGGGGAAGCCTCCCTCCCCTGGTCACCGGGGTCTCCCTGAGCCGCCTCTGTCCGTCTCCACGCGTGTGATCCCTGCACCCTGACCCAGGGCCGGGACTCGCCCAGCACGAGCACCGTGTCGGTGTCGGTGTCGGTGCTGGTCAGGCCGGGCGGGCGGGAGAAGGGGGGCAGGTGGACGGGGGGCAACTTCCCCCCAGTGAAGACTCCGGCTTTGACGCAGTACAGGACCTGACAGGACTGGCTGACGGTCGCCAGGTGTTGACTGAAGCCTCGGGGGCAGCTTTGGCTGTGACCCCTCGGGGGCGGTTGGACAAAGCTCTGCAGTGACCCCGGGGGGGCGCGGGGGGCCGTGTCCGCCAGAGGGTTCCCGCTCTCACAGCTGAAGAATCCCCCGAATGGCACCGAGTAACGGAAGCCGAGCTCAGAGTCGTCGCTGACGCAAACCTTCAGGGAGAGGAAGAGAGAGAGCGGGTAGTGGGCGGGAGGGCAGGACCGGGAGCCGGTCAGCGGGTTGTCGCTGCTCCGCGTGTACAGACCCCCGAACATGAGCCCCGAGGCCCGGGGGACCGGCCCGTGGGCCGCGCACCAATAGGCGGTGAAGCGCGCTCTCCGTACCCGGTAAATGTCTCCACAGGTCTGTTCACAACACTCCAACAGCAAATAACAGGAGTCACAGCGGCGCCGACACTCGTACCGACTGTAGCTCTGCTCCAGGACCTGGGAGCCGAGCCGCACCGCAGTGAAGCCCTCGGGGCAGCTCAGACCCCCCGTCAGCGGGTTTCTCTGCTGTAGGGTTTGGCACAGAGACTGGGCATCGACCCCCGACACAGCCGCGCAGTCCTGGTACAGACCCCCGAGGGTGAAGTTCGTGGCTGCGCTCTCACACGAGTGATCGTCAACGTTGGCCTTGAAATCGAAGTTGGGGGAGTCGGGGCTGACGCAGCCGCGGTGGGTGTTGACGGTGTAGTACAGGGCGATGGCGCGCTCCACGGCTCGGGACACTTTGTAGACCGTGGGCTCGGGCAGCTCGGGCAGCGTCAGGGGGTTGATGAAGACGTGCAGCGGCGGTCCGGATCTGTCGATGGCCACCAGGCGGTTCCCGATGGATTCCTGCCACTTGTGTAGGGTTATCCCGGGGTAGAAGGCCAGGCCGCCGTGGCTCTCTATCCGGGAATGGGTTCTGTTGGCCACGTAGCGCTTCGTGAACTGGTCTGTGCTGTTGTCCGAGCCCTCGGCCCCGACATTAACCTTCTGAAAAAAGGAGATGCCGACAGAGGCGGTGACCGAGGACTTGCTGTTCCTGGTGTCCGACACGAAGGTCTGTTTCACCTGATCTTCCTGCAGCAGATTAGCGCCAGCGTCCAGGTTAGTGAGGACATGTGTGCCATAGTTGACAATCAGCATCTCAGTGAAGTAGCTGTAAAATATATATATAATACCATCATAATAATACACGAATTTGACACAGCGCCTTATCATGTTTTCAAGATGCCTCAAAGTGCTTCACAGGATACACTGTAAACTGAATTGACTGTTTTGTGGGTGAAACCTGGCAGACAATTGCGCACAGCAGTGCCCGCACACCAGTGACCGGCTTTTGGGCCGATTATAACTGGGAAAGTGATCCCCCAATCAACTAACAACTGGGTTCCTACATACTGCTCGGTAAACAGCACCCGTTCCTCTGGCTCAGGTCTGCTCCACATCCCCCGCCCCAACCGCCCTACCATCGGTGGCTTTCAGCCTCTCAGCCCCGAGGCTCTGGAACTCTATCCCCAGTGCCTTCGCCACTTCCTCCCTTTCCTCTTTCAAGGCCGGTCTCAAGACCTTTCTCTTTGACCTTCAGCCTTCAGCTCTCCTCTCGACTCTCTACCCCCTCCTCGCTCCCTCCCTCCCCTCCCCTCACCCTGACCATTTCCCCCCTCCTCGCTCCCTCCCTCCCGTCACCCTGACCATTTCCCCCCTCCTCGCTCCCTCCCTCCCCTCACCCTGACCATTTCCCCAATGCTCGGGTCCTGACCCAACTGTACAGCATCTTGGGACGTCCTCCCGACGTGAAAGGCGCTCTATAAATGGAATCTTGTTGTTGTCGTTGTTGTTATTTTGAGATGCATTTGGATGGCTGTTATCCTTTCCCTTATGCAGTGGGATATGAAGGAGATCTTTGCGTGAAACAAGGTAATGCCTGTAATCCTAAGAATAGATCTTTTCCATGTATCCGTGGATCTCTGTCCTCCTTGCGGGGAGGTGGGGGGAAAGGTGAGCCAGGCTGGGCTGTGCTGTCATCAGCAGTGAGTGCCCTGGAGGGTAAAAAAAAGAACCTTCTTGATCTCAGAGGCTGATTTATCACTTAAAGAATGAGTTCTGACTTGTCAGTTGGTGATGGATCTCTGACCAAACCATTTGACCTCATTTTGCCATTTAGTTTCTGTGAGATGATTGCTTCAGGGACAAGATTTTGCATTCTCATCCTGACTGTGGAGGAAACGATTTTAAAAGATGAATGGTTGAAACATAATTTGCTCAGTCTAAGACATAATATATCAGGTACTGTCCACACATCTTTCATGTTACGATATGAAGTAATGAAGCATATGGGTTGTCTTCGGGGTTAAAATCCATCAGACTTAGACTGTTCCATCTTTTCTTCAACTTTTGTTGATTCCAGCAAATTTCAGGAAGAAGGAGAACTAACATAACTAAGGACAGCTGAAAGCATTTTGGAAAGCAATAGGAGAAGAATAACAATGTATAATAACTGCAAAGTAAAGTACACTCTCAGTTGTCCATCATTGAAGATTAAACTTTGATTTTGCAATCGACAACAACAACAAGATTACATTTGAATCAACAAACCCAAGCAAGAAATTTCTGAACTGAAGCAAGAGATTATTCGTCTGCTGTTTGTAAATTTAGCAAATGACTCTACCAAAGAAGCAAAGATTTGAATTGATTTATGGACTGACCAACTACTGAGTCTGTTACTTTGATATCGACATTTGTCTACGCTGTTGACCTGTCTGTTGTATTTGTGATAATTGAACTAACAAATTTACATTTCTTGTTAAGTAAAGAATTTTCAAAGCATCAGTTGCTGAGTGTCTTTGGTTCCTCTGCTCTCGGGTCCTTAATTATAGAAAGGCTATAAAGAATAAGATGGTTTTATTCTGCTCTTTGTGCAGAACCCAACACTACAATATTAGATATTTTTATGGTGCGTCCCGTGTATAGTGGTTAGCGCGATTGCCTTGCAAGCAAGAGGACCTCGGTTCAGTTCCCGAGCAGAGCAAAACCTTAGGCAAGTTTCCTTACTCTCCACACACACCTGTTAATCTAGCAGTAAATAGGGACCCCCTTGTTAATTGATTGGTGGATCTCTTTCTGGGGGAAATAATCCCTTCAAAAAGAAAAAAAGTTGGGTCACTCAATCCACGGCTGTTTGTGGGACACTGATGTGCACAATTGGCTGCTGTGTTTCGCCCACAAAATACAGTCATTACACTTTACTGTATATTCTGTAAAGAACTTTGAGACGTCTCAAAGTGAGAAGACGCTATATCAAATGCATTATTGTTATGATTATTTGTGTGGTTGTTGTTTCGTAAGGAATACTACAGACCTGGCAGCACTGCTGTGGTTGTTCTCCAAATGGCTACCGATCGCCAACAGCTGCTGCTTGAATCTGGAGTCGAGTTGGAATGAGGCCGAGGCCTTCACTGTGTACACTGAATTCCTGACCTGAATCCTGGCCGTGACCGTCTTGTCATTCGCTTGATGAGTCCTGACCCTCTGGCTGTCGGTGGAGAACTTGCCGTTCAGGAAGGGTAAGAAGGAGACTTGTTCGTTCACCGAAGATGCGGTGGAGCTTGTGTAATCCATCCAATTGTTGATGATCTCCGAGTTGATATCCAATTCACTGTGTTTTCGGGGGATCACATAGATCTCATCTGGGATGAGATACGCGCCGTCCTCGGTAGTTTTGCACTGATGGTAGCTGGTGTCCATCACACGGCCCATGTCCACATTCCTGAGATTATCCCAGCCTCCGCCAGGAAGCACCTCCAGTACTGGGATGGAATGGGTCTGTTTACAGTCGTTCAGCCCATCTCCTGTTGTTGATTTGATGCTGCCCCCCTGGACACCAAACTCCAGATTGGGAAGGAGCAATAAAAACACAGCCACAGTTCTCAATGACATGGCTGTGATCTGTACTGGGATGCTCTCCTCTCCACTTCACATAAACACCAAACACAAGATACTTCCTTTTTTGTGGTCAGCCATGTAACTGACACACGCGGAATTGAAACCGGTGACCATGAATAAGAGCATCCAAACCAAGCTGAGAATTCCATGCATCCCACCTAAACATGGAAATCGCAGAGATAGATTGTTGGAATGGAATGTGCACTCTCTCCCAAGAGGGATGCATCCTGCTTACCTAATTCTGGAAAGTATTAGGCATAGTTTGGCAAGAGCCCTGGAACACTGGTGGACCCGTCTGGCTCAGGAACTGGACAAGAGATGGAGTGCTGGTTTGATTCCGACATTCCATTGCCAAACCTGTCACCTTGGAGCCAGTTCAGTTTATTAATTAAAACATCCACAAACTCTTCATGCCACGGGGAATAGAAATGATGTATGTGCGCCCACTTATGACTCATTGCTTCTGTTTTTAATCATTATTTGGAAATTTGTGGGCCTTACCTCAATTGGCTACTGTTTTGCCCAACAAATACAAAGTCTCTACACTTGAGAACAATTCACTGTGAATTGCTGCAACATGTTTGATGTTTTTGATGCGGTATCAAATGCCAGGCATATTTTTACATAAGAATCATGAACAGATATGAAGAAATTCCACTGCCCCTAAAATAATAATAGAATCATAGAATATTAAAGCACAGAAGGAGGCCATTTGGCCAATCGTGTCTGTGTCGGCTCTTTGGAAGAGCCAACAAATCAGTCCCAATCCCCCACTCTCCCCCCATAGCCCTGATCAACCCCACTCCCCCACTCTCTCCCCATAACCCTGATCAACCACACCCCCCTGCTCTCTCCCCATAACCCTGATCAACCACACCCCCCGGCTCTCTCCCCATAACCCTGATCAACCACACCCCCCCGCTCTCCCCATAACCCTGATCAACCCCACCCCCCACTCTCTCCCCATAACCCTGATCAACCACACCCCCCGCTCTCTTCTCATAACCCTGCAATTTTTTCCTTTTCAAGTACCTGTCTAATTCGCTTTTATAAGTTGTTATTGAATCTGTTCCACACTGTAACAACTCTATGTGTAAAACAAATTCTCCTCATCTCCCCTCTGGTTCTTTTGCCAATTATCTTGAATCCATGTGCCCTAATTACTGAACCACCAACCAGTGGAAACAATTTCTCCTTATCTACTCCATCAAAATTTTGAACGCCTCTATTAAATCTCCCCTTAACCTTCTCTGCTCTAAAGATAGCTTCTCTACTTTCTCAACATAACAAGTCCCTTATTCCTGGTATCATTCACGTGAATCTACTCTGCACCTTCTACAAGGCCTTGATATCCTTCCTAAAGTGTAAGGCCCAGAATTCAACACAATACTCCAGCTGAGACCTAACCAAAGGTTTAGCAGAACTTCCTTGTTTTTGTACTCTGTGCCTCTATTTATAAAGACAAGGATACCATATGCTGTTGAACCTGTCTGTCAACCTGTGCTGCCACCTTCAAAGATCTGTATATGTGAACCCCCAGATCTCTCTGCTCATTTACCCCCTTTAAAACTGTAACATTTATTGTATATTGCCTCTCCTCATTCTTCCCCCACAAAATGAATCACCTCGTACTTCTTTGCATTGAACTACATCTGCATGTGTCTGGCTATTTTGCCAGTCTGTGTATGTCCACCTGCAGTCTGCTACCATCCTCCTCACTGCTATTTTCTGCTTCCATTATCATCTAGGGAGCCTATTCCATATGTTTACAACAACAATAACAACAACAAAATTACATTTGTGAAGTGTCTGTCAAATTGGGAGGACGTCTCAGGGCGTTGAACAGTCAGGGATCAGGATCCAAGTGTGTGAGGGGCAGGGTTGGGATGAGGGAGGGCAGAGAGGCAGGAAGGCGGATGAAGCCATGGTCGAAAAGCAGGGTCCTGAATCGTGCCTTGAAGGAAGCAAGAGAGGAAGCCAGGCGAAGGGATGGAGTTGCAAAAAGTGGGGGCAGAGAGGCTGAAGGCCCGGCCGCCGATGTTAGGGCGGGTCAGGCGGGAGACATGGAGCAGGCCAGATGACCGTGGTTTTTAGGGCGAGTGGGACTGATAGGGAGAGAGAGAAGGGGGAGAACAACAACAACGACTTGCATTTAACAACTTGCATAGTGCCTATGACCCTCACCCTAGAGTGAGAATCTTGAAGTGGATCTGTTCTGTGACAGGAACCAGTAGAGTTTGGCCAGGACTGGAGTAATGGGCTTTGGTGCAGGTGACAATGAGGGTGGCGGAGTTTGAATGAGTTGAATATTGTGGACAGGAGGGGAGACCGGCGAGGAGGAGGTTAGAGTTGTCCAGCCGAGAGGTGACAAAGGCACGGACAAGGGTTTCGGCAGCTTTTGCGGTGAGGTATTGTCGGAGATGGACAATGTGGCGGAGATGGAAGAAAGCGGTGCTGATCCCTGGACCGGATGTGGGGAGGAAGGATAACTGGGGACCAAAACCTGACGCCTAAGTTGCGCACGGGTTCAGAGAGTTTTAAGGACCGGTCGGGTAGGTTGAGGAGGTCGGAACCGTGGGACAGAAGACGTTGGCGGGAGCCAAAGAGTATGGCTTCCTTCTTGTTGATTTTAACTGCAGGAAATTTGCGCTCATCCAGCTCCTGATGTCCGACACACAAGCTGACAGAACATGGGGGACTGGGGGTCGCAGCTGGAGGTGGAAAAGTGGAGTTGAGTGTCATCCGCAAACATGAGGAAGTTAACCCCGTGTCTGCGGGTGACATCACCGTGAGGGAGCATATAGATCAGGAAGAGAAGGGGCCAAGGATGGATCATTGGGGTATCTACCCCCCAGGTGACCGGGAGGAAGCGCGAAGAAAAGCCATTTGCAGAAATGTACTGCTAACGGTTTAGGAGGTAGGACTCGAACCAGACGAGTGCGGTCCCACTGAGGTGGATGACGGAGGAAAGGAAGTGGAGTAGGATGGTGTAATCGACTGTGTCGAACGCGGTGGAGAGGTCCAGGAGGACAAGGAGGCAGAATTGTGGAGTCCTGTAGCTCAGTGGTTAGAGCACTCGCTTTGCAAGTGAGAGACCTGAGTTCAATTCCAGGCAGAGGGCGAAACCTTGGGCAAGTTTCCTTACTCCACACAGAGCCTAATAATAATCCCTCCAAAACAAAACAATAATAAATTGGTCATTTTCAATCTACGACTGTTTGTGGGACATTGCTGTGCGCAATTGGCTGCCGCGTTCACCCACAAATATACAGTCAATTCACTTTACAGTCTATTCTGTGAAGCACTTTGGGACGTCCTCCCGACGTGAAAAGCGCTATATCAAATGCAAGGATTATTATTATTATTATTAGAGGGAGCCCTGGTCACAGATAGAGAGGATATGGTTTGTGACCTTCACGAGCGCTGTCTCGGTGCTGTGGGCAGTCAGGGTGCAAACCGGATTGGAAGGTTGGAGTAGGGTGTGGAGGGAGAGATGAGGGTGAAGTGGTTGGCAACAACGCATTCCAGAGCTTTGGCCAGGAAGGGCAGGTTTGAGATAAGGCAAGAGTGTCCAAGGTTGGAGGGATCGAGGTTAGGTTTTTTAAAGAGGGGGGTGATGACCGTGGTTTTTAGGGCGAGTGGGACTGATCCTGAGGAGGGAGACTGGTTAATAGTGTCTGCCAGCAGTGGGCAGAGGAGGGGGAGCTGAGTGATCAGCAATTGGGTGGGGAGGGAGTCAAGCCAGCAGGTGGAGGAAGAGAGAGAGGAGGGGGAGAGAGAGAGAGTGGGGGTGGGGAGAGAAGAGGGAGAGAGGAGAGGAGAAGGAGAGCGGCGAGAGGTGAAGAGAAAGAGGGGGAAGGGGGATGAAGAGGGGGAAAGAGAATGTGGAGAGATAGAGGGAGGAGGAGGTAGCACTCCCCCAACCCCCTCAAGGTACTCTCTCTCTCCTCATAGAATTATACAGCACAGGAGGAGGCCATTCGGCCCATCGTATCTGTCCTTCTCTCACATACACACTCTCAATTACTCTCTCTCTGTCCCCTTCTCACACCCTCTCATACTCTCTCTTCCCTCTCACACCTCCTCCCCCCTCTCAATCACTCTCTCACAGCACATAAACAGCCCTGATCAAGGTGACAAATTACACCTCTCCATCTGTGACCAGGCTTCCTCTCTCCTCAACCTTCAAGGTTCTATCCTTGAATGGTTCAGATCCTATCTCTCATGCCGACTCCACTTTGTCTCCTCCAGCCCCCGCACCGTCTCGTGCAGTGTTCCTCAGGGCTCTGTCCTCGGTCCTCTCCTCTTCAACCTGTTCATGCTTCCTCTTGGTGACATCATCCGCAGACTTGGAGCCAACCTTCACAGGTAAGCGGATGACATCCTACCTCTCAGCCTCCACCCTCGACTCCAGGACCCACTGCTGTCCTGACAGAATGCTTGTCAGATATCAAGTCCAGGATGAGAGCTAACTTTCCACAGTTCAACGTCCACAACTAGGACCTAGGAGTCACAAGCACAGTGGCTAAGTTTGCAGATGACACCAAGCTAATGAAGGTGGTAGATTGCGAAGCTGAACAACATAGGTTACAGAAGGATTTGGACAACATACTTGGGAATTGGGCAGATCGGTGGCAGATGAAATTCAATGTAAAGTACTTCACATGAGGACAAAAAATCCTAGAAAGGACTATTATTTGAACTGAAAGAAAATATGTATGGAAAATGAAAAGGACCTGGGAGTCCTGATTGACAATAAATTGAAGCTTTCCTCAAAATGCTCTGTAGCAGTGAGTAAAGCAAACCAGATGTTGGGATGTATCAAGAGATCAATAACGAGCCAAAATAGTGGGGCAATCCTACCACTGTATAAATCATTGGTGAGTCCACACTTAGAGGCTGTGTACAGTTCTGGTCACCGCAGTACAAAAAGGATATTGGAGGAATCAAGAAGATACAGGGGAGGCCAACCAAAGTGATCGAGGGAATGGAGGGATTGGACTGTGAGGAGCCACTAAGTAAATTGGGCATGTTCACACTGGAAATAAGATTGAGAGGCAACACAAATGCTTTCTTTTAGATTCTAAAGGGGCAAAACAATATAGATCATGACAGGCTGTTTCAATTTGTCCAGA